CCTGTGACCCTGCTTGATCCCTGACCCATGACCTCTTACTGCTCTGTGACCTTGAGATCAACTCAGGATTCGGGGCTTCAGGCCTCTCTGGGCCATGTGACCTTTTGATGTGATCCTCACTGCCCCAGCTGACCTGTGACCCCTCCGTGCCCTCTCCATGACCGCCTGCTCCTCTCTGCCTGGGGGGTGTCCAGGGTACCTCATGGAGCGGAAGAAAAAGGGCTCTCATCGCTGGATGAAGCTGAACTTCGAGGTCTTTCCGGAGACAACCTACGAGTGCACCAAGATGATCGAGGGCGTCCTGTACGAGATGCGGGTCTTCGCCGTCAATGCCATCGGGGTGTCCCAGCCCAGCGTCAACACCAAGCCCTTCATGCCTATCGGTGACGCCCTTCTGCACCCTTGCTAGCTACTGTCCACCTCTGACCCACACCCTGCCCATCACCCGGGCCGCCGACCCTACAGAACTTGCTGACTCGTCCCCTCTCGTCCAACAACCCAACCCTTAACCCCCGGCCTCACTCACCCTGCTGACCTCTTCCTGACCCAGTACACGAGCCACCAACCTCTGTGGTCCTAGACGCTGTGCTGTGGCCTGGATACCTCACTGACCTCTGACCTAGCAGACGAATACCAATCCCCGCCCTCGGAGACTTCATCATCCCTTGATACCTTATTTTACTGACCCTTGACACACATCCTTGCTCATTGACCTTTGGCCCACCATATTGATCCCTTTTCTGACTGGTGACTTCGACTCTGACCCCTGACCCTCCCTACTGATCTTTGACCCCTCATTTACCCTCACCTCCCCTTTCCCTGGATCCTCACAGCACCCACGAGTGAACCCCAGCACTTGACAGTGGAGGACGTGACAGATACCACCACCACCCTCAAGTGGAGGCCCCCCAACAGGATCGGGGCAGGCGGCATTGATGGGTACCTGGTGGAGTACTGCCTGGAGGACTGTGAGTGACCCCGTCAGGTCTGGTGGCGGGGGGGTGTCTCACACAGACCCCAGTGAGTGTCCAGTCCAGGCAGGGGCTGAGCTCCAGTGCCGTGAGCTGCCCTGTGGTGTCTGCACTTAAAGTGACTCTCTGGGACAGACCGGGGCAAGCCAGGCCCCCCCGTGACCAGCTTTCCCTTTCTCCCTCCCTGGGTCCCTCCCCTAGACCCGTCCTCCACACAGCAGTAGCTTCTCATCCATTCATCTAGCCTTCCATCCAAGTATTTATCTACTCGTTATATTCCTTCTTCCTTCTTTCCTATCCATTGATCCATTTATCCATCTATCCATCCATCCTTCGTCGTCCGTCTGTCAGTCCATCCATCCACTCATTTGTCCATCCATCTTTCCTTCCTGTTTCCTTTCCTTCTTCTTCCCCTTGTATTTCTCTCTCTCTCTCCTTCCTTCTGTCCACCACTTTATTTATCTGTATGACCATCTAACAATCTTTCTGTTGTCCTCCCACCCATCCACCCATCCACCCATCCACCTGTCCATCCATCCATCCACTTGTCCATCCGTCCATCCACCCATCCATCTGCCGATTCACCCATCTATTCATCCATCCATCCACCCATCCATCCACCCATCCATCCACACATCTACCCATCCATACATCCACCCATTAGTTATTTCAGTTTCTTGACGTATGTGAGGAATGGCAGTAGAGTAAGCATGACATCTTCAAAAGTGGATTTGGGAATAAGAAGGACTAGGGTATGAACGTTAACTCCTATGGATTATTTTTTGTTTCCACATCTGTGAAACATGAACAACAATCCTTGCCCCATAGGACTGTGAGAATTAAATGAAACAATGGCTAGGATCCATCCATCCATCCATCCACCCATCCATCCATCTATCCACCCATCCATCCATCAACCATCCATCCATCCACCCATCCACCCACCCATCTGAATTCCCACACGCCCGTCCCCTACTGAGCAAACGTGCGTTGAGCACTGACTCCATGCCAGGCCCAGGCCACGGCTATGGGGAAATCTCCAGCATGGACATCCCACCATGAAGACAGACGCGATCATCTTGACACCGTATCCCAGGCCTTAAAGTCAGACAGATGTGGGTCCCCATCCTGACCCTACACTTTCTAACTGTGTGACCTTGGGCAAGTCTCAGCCTCGGTCTCTTCATCTAAAGATGGCGGACAGCTCCCAGCTCTTGGCAGGGCACAGCGATGACCGCGTTCGGTAATGCACGTCCTTGACGGATGTTGGGACTCGGGGCGGCGTCTTCCTCTTTCTCTTCCCATTGTTCTTTACCCCATCTTTCCCCTTGGGGACCCCTCCGCGGTCTGTGTCATTGCCACCCCCGTGTTTCAGAACCTACTCTTGTTAGACTTCACCCTGTGGCTTGCGGGTCTGACCTGCATTGGTTCACCCACCACGGCAATGAACCCAAGATGGAAGCCGAGGGCCTGTCTCCAAGCACGGCTCCCGGTTCCTTCCCCTCTTCCCCTCAATATCCTCAGCTCTAACGTGGGGATGGCACAGGGTGGCGGCGGGGACAATGAGCTAACACGTGTGCCGCCCGGGGAACCTGGTCACGGTCCTCGCTTAGCAAATGTGAGGGGCTGCAGCTGAAGGCGTGGAGGGACCGCAGGCCGCGGGCGGCGGGCGCGGAGGGGCTGCGGGCCGCCGGCCGGAGCCAGGGGAGGGCCCAGCACTGCCCCTCTCTCTCTCTCGCAGCCGAGGACTGGATCCCAGCCAACACAGAGCCCGTCGAGCGCTGCGGCTTCACGGTCAAGAACCTTCCCACGGGAGCAAGACTCATGTTCCGCGTTGTGGGGGTCAACATCGCGGGGCGCAGTGAGCCTGCCATCCTGGCACAGCCGGTCACCATCCGGGAGATTGTCGGTGAGCGACCCCGGCCCCTGGTCCCGTTCCCCTGACGACCTCGTCCCTGCGTCCCCCCCAATCCCCCCATCCCCCGCCTAGCGCTCAGCCCGCCCTGCGTTTGCGTCCCCAGAACAGCCCAAGATCCGCCTGCCGCGCCATCTGCGTCAGACCTACGTCCGCAAAGTGGGGGAGCCGATCAACCTCCTCATCCCCTTCCAGGTGCGCGGGCTGGGCCGGGGTCAGGGGTCAGGGGTCAGGGGTCAGCTGCGGGCAAGCCAGACCCCACCGACCTGTGCTCCCCGGCCCCCTCCCCCGC